ATGAAGGCTGTTGTAATCCACGTAGAGGGTAAAGATTGTTATGGCTGGGACCTTGGAGTAGTGTTTGATGAGTTTTGGCATCCTTCACAATGAAACAATGAGCATGAAATTCAAAGAAAATAGTATTATCAACATAAAACTGAGAAACGGATAAAAGATTTTGAGAAATGTTAGGAACATGAAGAAGTTGAGTAAGAAGGTATTTGTCATTTTGTGCACTGATTCTTGACCTTGGTCTCTAGTACTTGTGTTTTGAATAGGGAGTGGAGCACCATTACCAACCTGCACTGATTCTTGACCTTGGTAAGGAGTGGAGTAGATATTCAGAATTGAGAAGTCTGCAATCATGTGATTAGTAGCTCCTGTATCAAGATACCAAAGTGTATCTTCCATATCAAAAGGGAATATAGAGTAATTTGCAGAATAAGAATTGGTGTGAGGAGGCTAAAAGTTATGATCATAGCGATGAGGGCAGGTAACCACTGTGTGACCATGTTCACGGCACAGTTGACAAATGTCAGTTATGGTGGTCAAGAAGAGAGAGGGTGTCGTACGACCACCATGTTGTCCATAAAAGTTTCTGCCATCTTTGTATCCACAACCTCTGTTGTTGAAAGCAAATCGTCCTTAACGACCTCTGTAGAAAGAGAAGCCACGTCCACCTCACTATGTAGGTGTGGGTAAGAAACCATCTGAAACTTTTGCAGTGTTGGTAGTAATGTGAGTGACTTGAGTGCCAATGTTTTGAGTTTGTCGAGCTTCATAAGAGAGATGACTGAGGATCTCTTCAAAGGAAAGGACATCTCGCCTTGTAGTAAGAGAGGTAACTATGGAATGGTAGTTAGAGCCAAGTCCACCAAGGAGATAAATATTAAAATCAACATCAAAGACTGGGTTTCCTGTAGTTGCCAGAGAATCAGCAAGAAGGGTTGCACGTTGATGATATTCAAAAATGGACTCACCGCCTTTCTTTAAATGAGTTGTTGGTGGAGCTGGAGATATTTAGGTTAACACTATTTAGAGAACATGGTTTCCAGAGCTATCCACATAACTTTGGATGTCTTGTGTCTCATGACTTGAGCAATAAGTTTTTTTGATAGAGATGAAATAAGGAGAGACAGCACCAATTGATCTTGCTCAAACAATTTGATATAGGCTAGATTGGGAGTGCCATCGGAGAGTTTGGTTGGAGGCTGTGGATTAAAACCATCAATGTAATAGAAGTAACGTTGGCCATAGAGATATAGTAACATTTGTGCCTTCCATATAAGATAATTTTCTTGGTTTAGTTTGACAGTGATGAAATGTGAGACATGAGGAGAATTGGAGAGAGTGGTTTGGGAAGTGACAGGGTCAGAAGTACTAGAGGAGGACGGGACCGGGCTTTTTGAGGGATCTATCATGGCAGTGACGCCTTACAGCTTTGATACCATTTTAGCAAAAGAAGAATAATAGAAGATAAAAGACATAATGGTAATAAAGAAAGAGAGAGACATAATTCAGAAATGACCTTGTATCATTTTTCATGTTTTGACAAGTGCCACTACAGGGATATATGTACAAAAAACTATTCTAATATATTTGTAGAGCCAGCTGTACATAGACATGTGCTGTGAGTTACAATTTCAATTTTCACGTGTGGTGCTATGTTTGGGCATCAGGTGTGTATATCTTGGGCTGCTTGGGCTGCTGTTTAGTGATAGATGTAATTGGGCTTATTTGTGTTCTAACACAGATCAAATGGTTAGACATTGCATAGCTCTTGATTCTTATCTACATATATAGTTAACTAGTTAATCATTGCTGTTGTTTTGTTGTCATATCCATTTGATTAATCTCAAACAAAATATCTGATTAGTTTCTTTATTGGTGGGCACAAAAGTGGTAGTGGGGGCTTCAAGAGAAAACATGTCCCATGAACTTCCAACCGTAAAAAACTAAGGACGCCATCACATGTGCCCCAAGGATTTTGGTTGGTGAAAGCCTTAGGAGCAAAATTCAGGTATTCTTTTTACAGCTCAACACAAACATACACACGTGGTCATTCAAAACTACGATCACATGCACTCTTTTTTATTATTTATTCATCTGTCCACCTTTAGCCTTTATCATTTTAGCTAGTATTCTTATTTTGTTAATTGATTAATTATGATTATTCAAAATTTCGTTCGTGGGCCCTGAAATCAGATCAAATAATGAAATTATTGCAATGTTGATTGATTATAAACAATGGTCAAAACTATTAATTGCCATAAATATGTTAATTAAATTGAAAGTTTAATTGGTGGATATACATCTCTAGCAATTCTTAAAGTAATTGACGCATAATGTTTGCTTTTCTGAAACATGATTTGTTCTTGTGTTGATCCTTAGATTATTAAAACAAATTAACAAATGACCAACGCCAAAATGTCAAAGTTTGAAATCACAGTCTGCCAAATTGATTGATGTTCAAAGCTGTGCTGATGAGTTACTAACTAAAGCAAAATCCTTGAGACAGCAAGTGATTTTTCTCATAGGCTAAAGTAGTCTACATTTTAAATACATACGTATTCCTACACGAGCACATAAGCAACGATGTTACATTATTCGCTTTGTTGGGTGCCTAATTATTTGGATTTATTCACAAATGGGGTTGCATTTCATGTCTAGTTTGGCTTTTGTTTTTTGGTTTGCTAATTAATGATCATCAAGTTTAGTGAAAGCATGTGCTGATTTGTTATCATTTGAATTAAAATCTATTACATATTCTCATGCTTTAAAGCAGCAATATGACACAAATAGACATGTAGTAATCATAACATAATTGTAAGGTAGGAAAGAACTACTACCTGATAAGTGTTCTTCTAAAACCAACCTTAATGTCCCATTTTATGGTGTTTTCTTGGCGAGCGCGGGCAAATATTAAAATCTATCATACTCATAAGAGTAGGTTAACATTTGATTGAATTATGGTTTATAAGTTAACTAACCTCCCTTAAATCCCAACTCTCTTTAACTCTACTCTTTCTTGATAGTTGATCATATTTCAAGACATTTAAAAATTTAAAAATGTCTTCCCTTTCTAAACCCTCACACTTTAATACGCGTTCGGTCTTTAATATATCACCTAATTATTAAGTTAGTTTTGGTTCTAAATATAAGACCTATTTTTCATATTTATCAATTTTTTTCTAAATTACCCTTATAAATACTCCTTCAACCATAATCAAGTAAGTGAGAGAGGAAGGATATTAAAAAAGATGATTATGATATTTTAGAAAAAAAACATGTCATATTTGTTATAGCTAACTAACTTACCTAACTTCCTCAATCTAATCAAATTAGTTAAATATGTCTTATATTAAGGATCAGAAGAGTACATACACACACATGTATATATATTCGCATATGCGTAACCAATATCAAAAGTAGCTTAATTTCCATTAACTTGAATCCTAGCTTTGCTCTCTTTATCTTATCTCTTATTTATAATTTCTTTTGTCACCATCCCTACACAATTTAGTCCTCTAAATTCATTGAAATCATCAAACTAAGCAAAATCCAACTTTAACCTCTGCAACAACATGTATGTTTATCTATTTTAGGTAACTATGATTCACTACAATACAACTAGCTCCTAGTTTCCTTTATTTCTTATATCCTTCGGCCAGGCACTTTTGAATGTTCATTGACATTATATTCCAATTAAGCAATTACTCTTTAATAACTTCTATAAATCTCCAATAAGATCAATAACCTTCTAAAGAAACTCAATCACTTCCTAGAGGTCCTCAGACATACTTCAAATATAAGGAAATGTTTTAGAATACTGGTCTCTTCTTTTGTAATTCTATAATATTTCCCTTAAATTTCAGCCTCCTGCACAAAATAAATTACACTTCCCAAAATAACTTGATCAGCAACGCGCGCGCGCGCGCGTCTCTTTATCTATCTATCTATATATATATATATATATATATATATTTATAGTGGTTAGTCATTATAATGAAGCTGCGGGTTTATTAATGGAAAGGAGATGTAACGTGTCGGTATAAAGGGGTGATGTATATAGGAGAAGGAAGAAAGAAAGCAATATATATATATATATATATATATATCATTTCACAGACAAAAGAATAAATTAAATACTCCCTCATGACAGCAACTTAGTAAATCCGAATAGCATCCCCCAACAAATCTAAATTCCATCTCCGAGTTCAAACACCCAAGATGATTCACGCACACACAAGCAACCATATATATATAGAGAGAGAGAGAGAGAGCATATGCATTCAACATTTGAAGTGCTTCTTTTTAGCAAAAGAACGACAATAGAAGATAAAAGACATAACGGTAATAAAAAAAGAGAGAAACATAATTCAGAAATCACGGTATCATTTTTCATGTTTTGAACAGTCCCACTAGAGGGGATATATATACAGAAAACTATTCTTGAGTATTCCTAGAGCCAGCTGTACACAGACATGTGCTGTGAGTTACAATTTCAATTTGGGCCTCAGGTGTGTATATCTTGGGCTGCGTGGGCTGCTGTTTAGTGATAGATGTAATTGGGCTTGTTTGGGTTCTAACACTTCCTGAGCAACAAAAGTCAGACAGCACCGGTCTTCGATCCTGTCTAGTTGTCCCGAGCAACTAAAGGAGTGTCTGCACTGACTCTTCGGGTGTTAAACCCAGTTGATGTAATTTTCCTTTAGGCCTTTGGCCTTCTTTCTTGCCAAAAAAAAAAAAAAATCGGACAGCGCCCTCTCCAACTAATTTTAGATTTTCTAACTCACATCCAATGACAACGCACCTACAAGAAATTTGGCTACTTAAAGCTTAAATTCATAAAACTTATTTACCGCTTTTAAAACATCACTTATATCAACATAATAATTAGAGGAATCCTCTTTGGTTAGCAATCGATCGACGCCCAATTAAACTCACATCATCCTATATATATCCTAACGTTACACACACATGTATATATATGCACACACCGAATAGCAATCCCATATTTAAATCGGTTCAAATTCAAAACCATCTAAACCTCCCTTATCAGTAACCAGAGTCACACCCTCATGAAAGAGTGCAGGCCCTGTTTCAGCGGACATGAACCAGAGCAATCAACGCAAATATTCAACATGCAATCATGAACCCATGTACTTCACATCTCCCCCTTCCAAATACACAAAAGCCGACACTATAACAGAATCAATTTGGACTCTGTTTCGACGGACGAAAATCAGAGAGAAAGGATTAAGCACATGCAATTCGAAAATCACCATAAAGCAGAACCAAAAACGCGTGCAGCGCCGTCTCCTGATGAACTAGCCTTAACCTTTTCGGCTATCCCATTTCCTTCACCTTAATCGAATATCAACAATCCCACAACCTCGAAATCATCCATCAAATGGCAGAACAAAGAGTAGAAGGAGGATTAGAAAGCTCACCTATACCAGAAACCTTGATTGCATGTAAAAGAACCTTTTCCGATCACCTTCTCCAGCAATAATGGTGCTCAAGCTTTCCCTTGGTCTCTCCCTCTTTTTTCTCTGATTGCAGGTGAAGAACGAAGAAGGGAAATGGGTTTTTGATAGGTTAATATATGAGGGGACGCGTGTGGAAATGAGCGAAATGTCCATTTTGCCCTTACACTCAATTCTTCTTTCAATTCTATCCTTTTTTTCTATTTTTCTGAAATTATAAAATAAATCCAGAAATTAATCATAATGTTTTATGTGGATTTTTCTTCTCTTCTTTGACTCATAAAATAGATCCTCCAGAAATTCAGAGTAAAAAATTAACTCCTACATATTTTTTGAATTTTTTAAGAAAATAGCCCTTAATTTCATAAATTAATCCTTAACACATTATAAGGATTTTGTGTCTTTTTTAGCTTTCCTAACTCACAAAATAATTATCTTAAAGATCTCAACTCAAAAATAATCCTCTAACTATTTTTCCTTAAATTTTCAAAAAAAAAAAGACCTCTTTAACTCTCAAAATTAACTTCAAAATTATATTACATAATTTTTCCAATTTTCTTATGAATTAAATAATTTTAATATTACTTGTCCTTATTAAAAGGTGACTTATAAATAGGATAAAAAAACTTTTTTTTCGTGCTTTATGAAGAGGACCGGATGAATAATTTACATATGAAATTGGTTTTTATTACAATCATCCAAAACCTATTCTACTCAAAATCATGACTTTTAATCAATTTTACTCAAAATCTATTCTCCCACCGATAATCGAAATATGAATGGTTTTGCCATGGAGAAGCTAATGATAGTTTAAACGTGAATCGGACATAGAGACGAGGAATCCCCCCGGGGGGGGGGGCATTGAATTGTTTAACTAAGGCAATCATGAAGAACTTTTGATCAAGCCCAGAACTTTAAACTCGGCATGCATTATACAAACTATCTCCCTGCAAGAGGCACTTGGTTGGGTCCTTCAATTTGGCCAATGGCACGAACAATCTTGAGCCCCAGGTCGGGTTCAACTTTGAGTAGTGCCTATAGACTGTAAAATGAGGCCAAAACAACAAATAAAATATCCTTCGGGTTATAAAATGCGCCGAGTGGTAAGCAACTTAAGTGACAACCCTTAAGAAAATATCTTATTTGAGCCTTGTGCAGCTATAGGGACACTTGAACCAAAATTAGATCATAGATTTGAAAGTCCGATAATAATTTGTTAAAGAAAAAAAAAGCAAGTAATTATATTGTAGTGCTCGATTCAAAATAGAGTCAATCTTACATTCACTTTCAACATGTTGATCACTGATTTGGTCCTTGGTTCGCAAGATGCAATGGACATATAGTTTTGTGTTTGGTGGAATGGACGAGACGTCTACAGACAGAAATAGGGAGATGCTATTCCCCAGGCCCTCTACGTTCCCGTTAGGGTAGAAAATGAGCTTCCTGGAAAATAACCAAAATCAATTATTTTTTCACATTCCATTGGAACATATTCTTCAACATCATAGACACATGGATGTAGAAAGAAAAAACAATCCATAATTTTCCCTTTTTCCCCTCTTTATCTCAGTTCAAATTCAAATGGTCTAAAGTCATTTTAATTGAGAAACAGACAATCCCAACAATTAGTAAGATGTAGAGACTGGAAAGTTTTAGGAAGGAGCATTAGCGTACCATTTGTAGTCCCCTGCGAGGAAAGTTTCAGATTCATACTTCTCAAGATTAGCTTTTGAAAAGTTATCAAATTTCCACCTATGGGAAAAAAGGAGGAGGTTCTTGTATCACTGATAGGATATATCCTCTAGAGGTGGCCCTGGCAATAAAAATTTCAGCTCCAAACGTGCAGGAATCATCCCTTAGGTATCCATTTATTGGGTCATTAAATGAGGCAAGGCCGATGAATTTGGCGATGCCCCATTCTGTTTGGAGTTCATGGAACCGCCTTATGCCTGCATCTGTAAGGGCCAATCTCAGATTTGATGTTATATACTACTAATTCTGATCCTTAATATAAGATATAGTTGACTAATTTAGAAAAACTAAAAAAAAATTACTAAATTACTTTAAAGTATTTTTATTTATTATTTTTCTCCAAACTAATTTGTTTTACACATAATCTAATAATTCACGTAAATATTTCAGAGAGATCAATTAAGTAATTTAATTAGTAACTTCTTTAATCTTTCAAAGTCTATCAACTAGACCTTATATTAAGTACCTAAGATAGTATGTCGATCAATACAACATAAAATACCTAAAAGTAGTCAATGAATTTAGTACCTTGAGCAGACAAATACTCATCGCGAAGAGAATCATAGACAAACAGGTTCACAATGGCATTGACCTCCTAACCAACAGGAAATAAATTTGAGTCTTGAGCTATCAAGTTCACATATATTGAGATATGATCACGTCCATCTCTTTTCTCATTTCCGGTTGGGTATATAGATAGAGTCCTACGACAAAAACAAGTTTATCATTTTCTACAGGCAAATATATGGAAATCAAAAGCCTAAGTTCAAACCATTTATATTAGGAAAGTGCATGAGAAAATACCATTGGTATCCCCCTGCTTCAAATACTTCCGAGGTGTATTTTTCTACTGAAGTCTTTGAAAGCAAAGAGAAGGAATTGATTGTGAACAAGCAATGACTAGGCGGTGCTTTTCTTCCTGAAACATTTTTTTCATCACAAAAGTACAACAAAATAACTTAGTTCATTTGGAAGCTTTTGATGAACTCGAATTGAAGACCATATAATATAGGTATATTTATTTACCTGTACAAGGGAAGCAACCGCAAATCTTCATTATTTCTGTCTCAGGCATGGTAACAGGTCACTTTACACGCTATGTTTGAGATTGCGTGGTTTTCGAAGGTCTCTCTTGTTGGAAAAACTGTCTATTTTCATTTCAATTATAATGTGGGAAGGAGCGGGGAACTAGGACGTGATCACGTGAAATCAGTGAAACAGAGGTTGTTTGATTTTGAAAATTTAATCAAATTAATTATAATCAGCTCGGTCCTTGATTAGTGCTCTTGACGGAATGAGCAGATTTATTTTTTTTATTTTTTTAAGATAATTATTTTTAATAGATATAGGATCTAAAAAATATATCATACTATCATTTTTCTTAAAAATAATTTTTATTTAAAAATAAATAATTACAATTTTTAAATATAGATCATTCAAATCTAATTTAAACAGTTTAGATCTAATAAGCTTGGATACTCACAAACCGGATCCATTCTAAACTAGCACATATGACATAATTTATCTATTAATTTGTTTAAAAGTATAAAAAATTGTTTAGTAGGATTTATTCTCTTCATTTTTCATGGGCATGAATAATAGAGATTTTTATAGATACTACATTGGTCCTTATTATAAGTCGCAACATTGGGTATTAATTATAATTTATCAATATTACGCCCTTTAAAATCATATAATTTTAAATGAACCTCATAATTCTTTTATTTTTGGGTGTAAAAGGACCTCCAAGGTTGTCATCGAGGAAAAAAAAAAAAAAAGGACCTCAAAGGTTTATGAACCTCATAATTCTAAATGCATAAACTCCCCTCCAATTTACATACTTAAAACATACCCGATGAATTTAGCATGTCTATCTCTGCTTCATTGCCTTTTCCTCTCAAATTTTTTGTCACGTGATGGTCACTAACGCTGCAAAAACTTTTCCCACATAAACTTAATGTTCATTTGAATGTTGCGGGAATCACTCTTGGAAATAGATTTCATAAGAATAATTTTTCACAAGAATTTCATTAATTTAATGTGCATTGAAAATTTTTGATAGGGTGCAATTTTTTCTAGAAGTTCCCTTCTTCGAATTGTGATGGTGTCATATTACTCTTTATATCCTTTTGGGTCTTTTTGGTTTTTAGTATTGGGGTTGTTCTGATATGTAGGGTCACATAGGATTTTGTGTTGTTTCATTGTGCTTGCACTTTTATTTCCTCTTGTACTTTGTTTAGCTTAACTTGATACAAAACAATTAATTGACTTCGTTGGTATTTGTTTTCTCTTACATAGTTAACCATGAAGTTTGAGAAAGCTGTGGCCAATCATAAACATCAAGAGGATAAAAACTACTACTACTTCATATTAAGTTTTGTTCCATGTTGATTATTGTCTATCAGATCAATGGAATACCAAAAGTATATTATTAGTGAGTATTAGTATTCTGTAACCGTGCGTGCGTGCGTGTGTATTTCAAACAAGATATGTTTATAGCATTGATATATAAGTTTCTCTATTGATAGACACAGAATGGGCAATCTTTTTAGCATTTGTTATCAAGTTTGCTAGTAAAAATAGCAATGACTAAATGTTTTTCTAAACGTTAATATATATATATATATATGTATATGTATATGGTTTCTAAAATCTATTTTCCCATGCACCACTTTGACTATAGCTATTTCTTCATCTAATCCAACTTTAGCCCTTGTTATTTTAGCCAGTTCTTCCATTCCTAATTTATTATAGTTATTCAAAATACTGTTCATAGCCATGAAATTATATGGAAAAAAAATGAAATTATTAAAACATTGATTGATTATAAACAATGGTGAAAACCATTGAATTAACATAAATATCTCGAATTGAAAGCTCATTAGTGGATACTGGGGCATTTTTTGAAGGCACTCCTCCTTCAGTCATTCTAACTTATTCTAATATGCTTGATAGCAATTTACACACTTTTTTTTTTTAACATTTCTTAAAACATGTTTTGGATCTTATGTTGAAGCTTAGTTTATTAAAGATTTTAACAAATGACCATTATATCATTCATTAATTTTTCTTTAGTCAATTCATGTTTCAAATTCTGCAACATTTATATCTGAACATAGTCTGCTTTTGCAGGCTAAGCATGACCTTCTACGTTCACAAGTTGAAACCTGTGAAAATGAGAAGCATTCTTTGCAAATTGAGAGGCTGGTCCGTAAAATACCATCCATTCATATAGCGAAAGGAATAATACGAAAAGGTGACAAATCTCTTGACACTATCATGAGGATTTTATATTTAAAATGTGGAAACATAAGATATCTTGAATGAATTTCGTCAACACACATCTATAGAAGAAGTTTCTGAGTTGAACTATTAATAGAACTTCATATATATATATATATATATATATATATATGCATATATATTGATCGACTTGTCTCGACTCTTCAACTTATAGCTCCTCATATGAATAAGAGTTTTTTTTTTTTTTTTCCTGAGGCTTTGTTTTATTGCTTTTCAGCTGAGATTGGAAAGAACAAAGGTGAAGTGAACAAGCAGTATACGAACTCCTGAGAATAGGCAAGAGGAAAAGCTAAGACTTATGCTTGTTTGGTGATGATCATGGCCATGAAGTGCATAAAGTCTATGCAACTTCATTCCCTTGCTTAAAGTCTAGCACATGATAAAACGTAATCTAAGAGCATAGCCAGACAAATAATAATTACAAGCAAAGATTCCTAAGGAATCTAGACACTAGATCTGAATCCTCACTTAGATTCTTCAATGCTGCTTATGTTTTGATCCAGTTGTAGTGTATCAGCATTTTCACTACTACCTCCGATCTTTAATGTAAAAGCTAATTTGATTTTTAATTTGATAAAACCTCAATCCACTTTATTTATCATATTTATTTATTTTTTTCAATGTAATTATTGTAGTAGTTGCACAGATTAAATAATTCATCAAATGTTAAAGCTAACACACTTGACTAGTAAGGATATTTTAGTATTTATTACAAATAACTAACTTAACAAATTTTCTTAATTTATTTAAATTAGTCAACTAGCTCTTATATTAACAACTGAATATAGTACATAATTTCTTTGAAGCTTTCATAAGTTCTAGCCTCCTAGAATTCTAGCTTCAACATTGATGCGATCAATTCAGGACATTCTTCATCATCTTGATAATAAGACAGCCTTTCCATTTTTGACACAGTTGTTTCCAATTATTTACTAGATTTACATCAACAATTATAGTTTCTAGTGACATAAAAATTGCTTCATGCTCCGTTCCATATGTGTCCTTGAAAAGAGGATACCATATCATCAATATTTCACCTCTTTTTTCTTATATATTTTTGTCTTACAATCATTGATGTTTTGCTTTCCTTATGAACTAATATTTTTTGTAAGGAAAAAATCTATCTAGATTTGATTGTCCATATTTACTTCAGAAATTGCGTAAATTTCAAGAGACATGCACCATTTTCAAATCCTAAAATTAATTAATTAATTATTCGGCTAGAACCCTAATATATGGATAAGATATTGAAATCAGCTTATGGATTCTCAATTCTCAACATTAGAGTAATAATGGCCGTCATAAATGCATAAATCAACTAAATACCTCGTTTATTTGTAACTTGAGAAAACATCACATTAAATTGTATCCTTTTAAGAATTTACACATGGAAAAAAAAGTAATTTGTAAGTATAACCATCAAAATATTTTTAATTCTATCAACATAACTTCTCAGAAAACTAAAATCCAAAAATTATCTTATCATTACAAAATCTCTTAAAATCATTATATTTAACCAATTTTCTCCAAAATCTATCCTCCCACTACTAACTCAAACACACCCCACCGGTAGTTCTTGCCATGGAGAATCTAATGATAACTTTAATGCGAATGGCACATAACGAAGAGTCTTGAGAAAACATCGAATTGTTTAGCGACGGCTTAGTCATCAAAAACTTCGAACGAAGCCCAGAACTCTAAACTCGGCATCAAATATACAACTATCTCCTTGGATGAAGCCTTTGGTTGGGTCCTTCAGTTTGACCAATGGCACGAACAATCTTGAGCCCCGGGACGGGTTTAGCTTTGAGTAATGCTCATAGACTGTAAAATGAGGGCGAAACAACAAATGAAATATCTTTTGGATTTAATTGAAGTGCTCACTTCAAAACAGACCCAATCTTACATTCACGTTCAGCGTGTTGATAACTGATTTGGTCTCTGGCTCGCAAAGTGCAATGCACATATAATTTAGCGTTTGGTGGAATGGACGAGACATCTATAGTTAGAAACAGGGAGATACAATTCCCCTTGCCCTCTAGTTGCCCGTTAGGGTAGAAAGTGAGCTTCCTGGAACATAACCGAAATCTATTATTTTCTCACATTCAATTGAAATACATTCTTCAACGTCAAAAAATATAACTTTTTTGGCAAAAGCATACTTTTAATCCTTTAATTTTGTACAAGGTTTTAATTTGGTCTGTTAACTTTAGAAAACACATTTTTTAAAGTTACAAGACCAAATTAAAACTTTATATAAAGTTAGAGACTAAAAAAGGTTAATACAGTTTTTGGTTTTCTAAATTTGTCTTCTTTTTAGTTTTGGTCTTTCAAGTTTCAAATAATAGATTTTAATCCCTCAAGTTTCTTCCTATCTCAAACATTGATTCTTATAATTTAATAAAAATTTGGACTACTTTGCCCTTTAAAAGACCAAAACCTCCTGTTTGATACTTGAGGGACCACAAGCAAAATGAGTGTAAACTTGAGGACCAAATATTGTATTAACACAAGTAAAAAAGACCAAATATATACTTTTACCTAATTTTTCTTTTCCCCTCTTTATCTCAATTCAAAAAGATGGCCTAAAGTCATTTTAATTGAGAAATAGAGAGGATCCCAACAATTAGTAAGTTGTAAAGACTAGGAAGTTTTAGGAAGCAGTACCATTTGTAGTCCCCAGCGAGGAAAGGTTCAGACTCGTACTTTTCAAGATAAGCTTTTGAAAAGTTACTAAATTCCCACCTATAAGAAAGAGGAGGAGGTGCCGGTATCATTGATAGGCAATATCCTTTATAGGTGGCCTTGACAATAAAAATTTCAGCTCCAAACGTGCAGCAATCATCCCTTAGATATCCATTTGAAGGGTCTTTAAATGAGGCAAGGTCTATGAATTTTGCGATGCCCCATTCTCTTTGAAGTTCATGGAACCGCCTTATGCTCCCATCTGCAAGGGCCAGTCTCAAATTCCAATCTATATACTATCTTTGGTTTTTAATATAAAACCTTGTTAACTAATTTGAAAAGATTAAGAAAATTACTAAATTATTTTATAGTATTTATATTTATCATTTTTCTCCAAACTAATTTGCCTCATTTAAAAATTAATATGCAATCTAATGGTATACGTAAATATTTTAGAGAGATCATATAATATATATTAATAATTAAGTAATTAAGTAACTTTTTTAATTTCTTCAAATTAATCAGCTGGGTTTTATATTAAGAATCAAGGATAGTACTATGTCAATACAACAAAAATGCCTAAAAGTAGACAATGAATTTAAAGTACCTTGAGTAGAAAAATACTCATCGCGAAGAGAATCATAGACAAACAAATTCACAATGGCATTGACCTCCCAACTGACAGGAAACAAACTTGAGTCTCGAACTATCAAGTTCAGATAAATTGAGATATGATCACGCCCATCTCTTTTCTCATTCCCAGTTGGGTATATTGATAGGGTCCTACCATAACAATAGGTTTATCATTTTTCACAAGCAAATGTGGAAATAAAAAATCAAAATTTGAATGCAAAAGAGCATAAGAAACATATATACCATACCATTGATATCCCCCTGCTTCAAATACTTCCGAGGTGTATTTTTCTCCTGAAGCCTTTGAAAGCAAAGAGAAGGAATTGATTGTGAACAAGCAATGACTAGGCGATGCTTTTCTTCCTGAAACATTTTTTCACCAGAAAAATACAGTTAGATAATTTAGTTCATTTGGCTGCATTTGAACTTGAATTGAAGACTATAGGTATATTTATTTACCTGTACAAGGGAAGCAACGACAGATCTTCATTATTTTTGTCCCAAGCATTACAACATGTCACTTTAAGCTCTGTTCGACATTGTGTTTTCCATAGACACAAAAACACTCTACAAAATAAACATCTTTTTACAAAGTCTCTAAACTATCCAAAAATCGCATTTTTTTTTTCACTTTAAAATAAGCCGGTCTTTTATTCAAAATTAGAATCCAAATGAAATCTGACATAATATTAGTTATCAAAAAAATTAATTCTAATTATTTTAAATTTAAATTTAAAATCACGTCCAAACAAATTTACATTGAAAACTTCCCGTTTGAATTGGAAATTTATCATCTCTTCTAACACATAAAATCGGGTGTTCTTGCAAGATTCATCACAATATTTACAGTTCTTTCAACGAGTCCTCTGAAACCATCCAAAGAAACAAGAACTCAAGAAGCACCTTTTCCCCTTTCTTTCCGTCAAAGTCTACCCATTGAAGAAAAAACTAATATCACAGAACAATTCAAACAGGCTTCATCAACAATGAGAATGGATTATCCAAACATCTATTAAATTGAGAACAGTAATTCATGAGAATAAAAGCATTTGTTAACACTTTACGCAATTACTTGTCAAATATCAAAGAATAGCAGGGGAAAAACACAATAGAAGAGGGGGAACAAGAAAGAAAGGAGACGAACAAAGCAATATCTCTAGATGATCAAGTCGATAACAACACACTAACCTTTAACACATGCTTGAACAGATCCAAAAACCACGCTAACATCAGTAAAACAACCCTTAAAGTGAAGAACTTACGGCAAAATCGAAGGAACAAATGCCACTCGAAGTCGACTTCCTAGTGAATGCTTCTGGCTCCTCGATGGTGGTGAACACAGACGGTCAAGTCTTGTGTAGTTTCCAATGCTCTCTCTCGTTGCGAAGGGTCAATTTCATTTCAAAAGTCGCATGTAGTTTTCGTTTGGAAATTTTAATCAATTATAATCTGAAACTAAAACTAGTACTCTTTTTTATTCTGTTTATAAGATAGAAACAAAATAGTCATATTTTTATTGGTACTATTTTTTCATCAAATTTTTAGCGTAAATATATTATTTTGTCATTTATTTATTATAGTATAGATTATTATTTTTTATTTTGAAAGACATATATATTAATGTTTTTCTAATTTATGTGAAGCATGCTACAAGTGCCTCATAAGTAGAAGCACATGACCATTTTCCATGGCACTTAAGTGTGTGGCTGTTTGGTAAGGCGTTTGATGGAAGAAAAAGTAACTTATAAGTGTGATAAATCAATTTGTAAATTTGAAAAGTGTTTGTCACAACTTTTGGCTAATGATTGCTTTGGCAAAAAAAAAAGATTGCAAAAGCATCTAAAACTTATTTATGACTTATGCAAAAGCAGCTTTTTAAAATTAAAAGATATTTTTATCCTTATATTTATGTTGTTCTTATTCTTCTCTCTCTATATATTCTTTGTACTTTCTAATCAGTTTTTAGTTATTTATTTTTAACTAAAAACTGATTAGAAAATAATTTTTAACAGTTTTTATAATATTTTTAATTTTTAATAATATTTTTAATTTTATATTTACATAAATTATGCGAAGTATATTATCCAATTAATTATGTAGCATTATTTTGTTCAAAAATTTTCACATTACTATGATTTCTAATTTAAATATATTTTATTGATTAAATAGAACTTCTTCCTATTATAGAAATTTAAAATTATTATATTTTGTAAGTTTATATTTTTAATCATTTTTTGTTATTTACTAAAAGTCGTACTCATTTTGGTTATTCTACTAGCTAAACTTACTTATTCAATCATAATCCAAACAATTTTTTTACTTTACAAACTAACTTTTATAAAAGTCAATCAAAGTATAAACTATATTACCCAATCTAAATTTTCTATATGCGGGTTAAAAATAAATTATTTTTTCTACCACCAATCCGAACCGACCTAGTAACACCTTCACACCGCTTTGGATTCCTGTTATTCCCTCTGTTTCTGTTTACAAGAATTTTTTTTGAATAATAACTTATTCTTTTCAGAAATATCCTTGTTTAAGGGAGAATATGGGGCGGAGAAAATTTTTGGCAGCTGTGTGATAATAAATGGGAGTAAAACGAAAAAATGAATGAAAAAGGTTAAGGGAATCAAGGAATATAAAACACCACCACCCATCTCACCCACTGTAACTAGACATCAAACTCCGTGGAATGTACGGAGGCGCCAGGTATTTTCAACGATATTTAATTTTGTTATTATATCTTTTGTAATACTTTTAATGCACTACATTTATCGTTGCAAAAAAAAAAAAAAAATACTCCTCTAGTCTATTTACAAGACACTTCCAGCATATTTCACACAGATAAAAAAAAATCTTAAACTTCATTAACTCTCATTTAAAATTTAGTAACTTTTCAACTTTATCCCTATTTAATGTATATTATATCTCATGTAAACAAAGTCAACACAATAATAAATGAGGGGCAAAATTATACATCTATATAAAAAATTTCTCTCAATACCCTATAAATATGACTAAAAATTATCTTCTCTTTCTGCTTTATAAACAGAACCACCAGAGGAGTACCCTACATTTTATTGCCTTTTCTTTTTGTCTTTTTCACTCAAGATCGTCATTTACAGTACTTGTAATTAGGTCAAATCTGGGAAGCCTGAAAATAAAGTTGGGCCTGATTAGATATGACCACTGTTTATAATCTTTTCAGATTCAATTAGATATGATGTTTTTAGCAGAAAAAAATAGATGTCATTAATGCGTACCCCAAGAATCCAAAAAAAAAAAAAAACAGATATCATTATTAAGCATAAAATTAATAACCAACAAGTGTTTGCTCAAACTGGTAGGACATGTTTAGAACAGCTTATAAGTAGTTTATAAGTAGATTTTAATAGTATTTTACGAAATACGAGACAAGTATGGGAGATGAGTTTTGTCTCGACTTATGTGAAACATGCTTATAGGAGATTTCCACCACTATCCCACACAAACACTACCAACTTAAGTTGAAGTTCTGAGTATAACTGAAAAAAGTATAAAATTAATATATTGAAGGGAAAGATTCGGGAAAAAAAACCTGAAATTATCATTTCCCAAGCACTTAAAGTTGAAACTAATAAGAAAAGAAGTGATGCATGATCTGATATTTTACAAATGTAGTTAAATGACTATCAAACTTGTTATTATCAATACACATTTTGTTATTGGCTATTAACACTTGTCATTGTTAGTTTACAACCTGTTAGTAGATAACTTGTCATTGCCAACACATTTCTTATCATTTGTTATTCAGTATTTATGATTGCCAACTTAGAACTTGTTAATAAACTTTTTTATATAAGGACATTTTAATCATTTAACTGTATTTACAGAATATCATATTAAACAATACTTCCTTCTATGTTATTTTTAACTCTTAAATGCTTGATTTAAAATATTATATTTTTTAACTTCTTTATTTATCATTTTTCCTATACTGAAATTGATAGATGTGTTATTATAGAATACATTTATATCCATTAGAATGAAGTTCGCCCACAAAACAGATCACCATAACGGCTAGTTGTTTACATCGATCATCGTCTCATGAACTCAAAACAAAACTTTCACCACTAAAAAAAAGATCATGTTCGTATGTCCTAGAAGTCCTTTTTCGTCTGTTTAATGGGGGACGTGGATGAATAAGACGTAGAAAGAAGTCATATACGCATCAGTTGAAAACAGACGAATATAGGACATCAGTTAATTTATGTGACATAAGATTAAGAAAATAAAACAACAGTAAATGGTAGAGTAACGGTAGAGTAATCATCCAAATGAAGATGTTGACCGTCAACTTTAATTTAAGTCTGCCTCCTTTTTTTTTGCTCCCAGCAATTAAGGTCTCGTTGATGTTCCTGTTTGTCAAACAAACTATATCTTTTAGGAACTTGTGAATTTTTTTATGGTTTTTTGTGCCAAAGATTTTTTTTCCAAATGGTTGATCTGCCACGATAACTTGTCAGGACATTTTGAAGTGATCTTGAATAATTGAAGCGTTGAAATCAAATAACAATACATTATTTTTTATTCTTAATATAAAAACTAGTTAAATAATTGGAGTAAATTATAAAAATTAGTTAAGTTAGTTATTTGTAATAAATAGGTATTGTCTTTCCTAAAATATCTTTGTTAATCAAGTGTATTGACTAAAACTACTATTATTACAAGGATTATCTTATATTAAGAATTAAAGGTAGTATAACATATTGAAATATTTTCATAGAGTATTAGAGTGTATGTAATTAATTAAAGGAATTAATGTATCATTATTATATATTACCTCTGGTTTTTAATACAAGAGTTTATTTGACTTTTATTTTTATTCTAAATATAAGAATATAATCTATTTTTTTCAAAATAGTCTTTATAATAATAGTAATTATAGCGAATACATTTAATTAGCTTTTATTTATTATAAATAAATAATTTAATTAATTTTTTTAATTTATTCAAATTAATCTAACTAGGTTTTAATACTGAGGCAGTATACATATGTTTGAAGTTTGGTTAACATCCAGGACAAAACGAATCCAGTATCTTCATTATTTAAAATATAGCACCTTAAAGTATACCTTCACGTACCAGATCTTATCAGCGAGGTCCGTATTCGGTGCTTATCAAGTGATGAGCACCCAGCACTTGTTACTTGATGAGTAATCTGGATAGTCCAGATCTAATCTGAACGGTTCGTATTTAATATTTTTAAATAATTCTTTTAAAATAAAAAATTTATTTTTAAAAAAATAATAATTAAGAGATTATCTTTATTTTTTATTATATTTTATAAAAATAAAAATAAAAATACCAATGCGAATCAGCGTCCGTTTTCTCCTTATCCCTTAGAAGCTCTAAATTATATCCGTCCAATCAATCGAAGGGATCACAAAAAGACACATCATCTAGCTTTTAAAATTTTATCTCGGCCGTCCAATAGATTATAATAGC